ACCAACGCCTGCAAACTGACAGTGCTCACAATTAAGAATTTACGAATTTGAACCTGTTCTTCGTATTCTCTCCTTTTGAATAACCGCTAACATTACAGGGTGTTTTTTTAACTATTCACACTAAAAATATCGATATCTAAACCCGCGTCATTTGGACCAATCAAAGGAAAACTTTGTTTAGCAGATAATTATTTAAACATTTTCACATTCAGTGAGGTAAAGGCAGATTGAGGAACTTTGACAAAATTTACCAACTCAAAAAATTGTAACAGATGTTTAAGGAGATAGACTTTAGGATGTACCAGTATGTTTAAAAATGTAGTTGCTATCCAAGTGAAGATTGCAAAATTCATTTCAGTGGATGTTTTTTATCTATTTAGAACCTATATTTGTCCTTAAAATATGCCATGCACAGGTCGTGATTTGATGTATTTGACTTCCGTGTGTTTTGTACAGTGGAATGGAGTCCAATTTCTTGGCTAACCCACAACCTTTTACATTAGAAGAGTTGAGAGCGACGAAGTTATCTGCTGACAACCATCATTCCTGCCTAACCGGAGTTGCTGGCTTGATAAAATCCGCTTGATGCGATGACAGATAAGTGCCATTGTCCACACCAAGTGAACACTGGCATCCGCATTACCATCGGCTGCATTTGTCGAAGTAAGAAAACCTGAAAACTGGTTTCTTGTAGAAGCAGTGAAATCAGATTACGGAAACCCCATTGCTTGGGCTGCGGTAGGATGAAGTAGTTGTATCAAATGGATTGACACTGTAGCTGGAAAATGTCGTGTTACTATATCAATGACCCAATCCGAGTTACACTAGTCACTGGAAATGCCGATTTGTTGGTTTGTGATAACCCACATCAACAGCACCTTTGCAAATTCAGGAACCATCAATTACGGTGGAAAATCGATTGGTGTTTGCTCACGGCTACGTTAAATTTCTACCGTCTACAGACCATGAATGTGGTCGTAAACTTAACTGGCGTTGAACCGGCTTGAATGAGCTACTCAGATACCCGGGAAGAATGAGAAGCCCCGAGATGGAGGAGATCCAATTTGGCCTCATCCACTTTGTGTGGGTGTTCAAGTTCGAGTCGTACGAATGGATGAAATGACCAGATGAGAGAAGTGGGTGGCGGGGAGGGGGTGGTTGCACAGAGGTGGCTGAGAGACGCAGTAAAAAGTGAGGAGGCCTGTTGGAGTTTGAGGCGGCCGGATTGATATACGTGAATCGACACGATTCACCGTACTGTCAACGCGCCAACTAAAACGACCTGTCTTTTGGATTAGCGAACTTACGCTCTTAATCATAAAATTACTGACTTTTTTACTGTCCGCAATTGAGATTAACGCCCAAACACACAGTCAACTGCTCCTCAGTCGGCTTGATTTCGAAAAAAATATTCACGACAATTCGGCAAGTTGAAATTTTTTAAATCGCAGTCGGTTGAAACGGAAAAGTGACTTTACAAAACAGGTGAAGCATCCATGCAAGACGCACGCCAGGTGAGAATGATAGATTAGATTCTCCATTTGGGCGGATCTAATCTGGCGAAACTGCGTACCGAGCCTCCTGCTAGCTGACATTTGATCGGGTTGAAATGACTCAAAAATCAACGTCCAACTGTTTGTTGAAGTAGAGTATGAAGCCACCGCATTGCATTGCCGACGTTGGCGGAGGCAGTTGTGAATTGTTCCAACGATTTTTCGTTTGACTAATTTCCACGCCAGAAAAACATAGTCTAGTTGCTTGTGTTGATGTCTGGCGCTTAGACATTGGATCAATGACTTGTGATGGAGTTTCCTTGCCTGGAATCGAACGATCTCTACATCATGCCGAGCTGTCAATGTCACCTCGTTGTGTCGTCTTCTGTATTGTCAGATTCATTGGGTATGAAGGATCAGTAGAATTGCAGTTTGGCTCCATTATTGCCAGAGACATGGAAATATGTTTGGCTAATTTTCCCCACCACACACACCCCTACCAGCAGATCCCAGTAAAACAATCTTCTCTAGTATTGATTGATGATTCGACATCAGGGCCTGTGAGGGATATCCACAGAACTAGGCTTTCTATTCAATGCAAATTAGTAACCTGCAACAAAAGTCGGAATATTCTCTACTTTCAACAACAGACTGGTCATTTTCGAATTGCACTGAAGTTCATTTAAGTAGACTGTTGATTAAAACCGAGAGAAATTTCTTTTACTGGGTATAAAAGTGGAAACACAACACACACATCCCCTAGGACTACACTGTTTAAAAATCTTAGCATCAATTTGGAGTAACACAGGAAATGTAACTGTTTGCTTGGTGGATAGAGGTGTCGGTCGATTGGACTCAAATTAAGTTCAGCTATGAAGAAATTGAAAATGCATCAACCAGCGTGTCTTGACAAGGCCCATCTTGCTCCGTTCATTCCGTAGTGGCGCTTCAGAATGAACGCTCGATTGATGCCCATTCATCTTAAACCCGACATCTGTTTACTGCCAATCGTGCCTTGGTGCCGTCAGTTTGATTATTTTGTAGTGAATCGTGTTGATTCACGTCCAATAACCCTGTCCTCGGAGCTTTCAGCACACCTCCCCCTTGTCACGTGAGACCGCTGGTTCATCACCCCGCTGAATGTACCATCACCACCACCACTTCCCGCATTGGTCATGTGACCTCATAAACGCCTGAGTTCATATTTACATGTCCACTCAACTGCAAAACTTGGTTGAGCGGTCTAGTAAACGGTTGTGCCTTCCCCACTCCGGTCTTCTATATTTTCGCGGGGACGCAGGGTAACGTATTCGGCCTAGATAATCGCAGTGGCCCCGGCGTGGTTCAAGACAACATGCCGGGGACCTCAACAATTTCACCTTTATAAGTTCTAGAACCACACTTGCCCTGTGGTAATCACAAAGTTCTTCATTAATTTAAATTCAAGTGCTTATGCAAACTGGCAATTTAAATAATTGTTCGTCGTCTGCCGATTCGCAATATTAAACAATGTGTCCTTCTCTCAAAATGCCGTTTCTTGAATTCATTAAACAAATTGAAAAATGAAATCAAAACGGCATCGTGATTCAAATTACGGGACAATGCCACTGATCGATAACCTGAAGGTCATTCTTGTCAGGATCTTTCGCAATTTTGGCGCCTTATTCACAGTTTCCGTCTGGATTAGACGGCTACATTCACAGACAAATCGACGTCTGGACCTCGATTGGATAGTATCTTTAGATAAGTAGTGGAATTCACTATCACCACATGTCGGTTTGACGGAAAGTACAGGGTTCCTTTTGGAGAATGCACCGACTTCACAAGTGCATTGAATACTTTCTCAGCCAAACTCACAATCATATAGACGTATTGAGCAGTCTGGTCTCGTCTCTGATCTTCTCGCTTCCCTGGGTTCGTGTGGTTCCAAGTAACTTGGTACAATCCACACTGATATCGACCCCTAACATATAGACGAATAAGACAGCGTGGACGCATACTTAATAGAATGCGACTTAGGCAGTGGAACTCACCGTGTCAATCAGTAAAATCAAAGATGGCATTCCACGAACAGGTGAATTTGGACGAAACACAAGCAGTCGCTTCCGTTTGAGTTGATAGTGAGAGCAGTATGCGTCCAGCACATTTAAAGTCCCACCCCACACCTGACAAATTACTTTTATTGCCAGTGCCGTATGCCAAAATCGCATACTCGATTAGTGCCTTAAAAAGGTGTCTCTACGTGATGCGATTAGGAGATCAGAAGTCACCCAAAAGCAACAGTCCATCACCCACCTGCAACAAACACACTCTCCAGAGAAGGTATTTTCGCGAATCAACAGGCCGAATTCATTCCCAGACCATTAAAATTACTCTGCTGTGAATTGTGTTCATTGACACCTCTTAATCCGGTCGTTCCAGCCTCCGACACAGGGTTCCCCTTTTCGCAGCATGACCCTAGCCTCGCAAATCCTCAACTTTCCTCTCATTCGCACGAATATTTAGCCTGGATTATCCTTACACCTAGGCCTCGATGCTAGCACATCTATGACTCACGCATCTGAGGTATAAATGCACAGGCACAAACCCCATGCACGATGCAACGACACCAACGTGGTTGAGCTCTGAATTAAACGGTTGTGTCTACGTCCTCTCCGGTCTTGTTCTTCATCGCGGGTATCAGGGAAACGTAATCGGGCCAGGGCTAATTCCGTGGCCCCGGCGTGGTTCAAGACCACATGCTGGGGCCCACAACTCCATATATAGGCGTTCCCGACAAAAGTGAGGTGTCCACAGAAGCTCACACAGGGAGAATCATGTACTTAGACCAGCGCCAGGGCATTCTCTGCGGTTCAGTCTTGCGGAAGATGGCTACTTTTGCTTTTACAGCCGAACCACAATTGAAGGGGAACAGATGTCGAAATTATCGTACCAATGGACTCGTTGACCCTGTCGGTAAAACTTTGGACATGGTGATCGAGAATCGAGGCAGAGACTGAAATCCTGAAAGGCTCGTCCACCCTTCGCACTGATTTCACCCGCTTTTAACCAACAAATTCTCAGATGTACCGCAAGTATCTTCAAGGGACTTGAGTCCAGAGAGGCAGAAGCCCAAACGCACGACGAGGAAGCACATCGGACGGTGGCAACTTACTGACAACCAGCAATAAAGTGTCCCGTAAAACGGCCACGCCCCACCACCTTTGGATTTTATTGTTTCCAAGAGCATGGTTTCCTACCTCCGTATTTCCCAAAGCACACTTCATGGACACGCAAAATAATCGTCTGGGGCTCCAATATAAGTCCCTAGGTGTTTCTGTGAACGCCTTGTTCCCAGTTACCTTCATGTTGGACAGCGTGAAAATAAGTGCACTACTTTATCCAAAAACTAACCACGGAACCTTCTTTGCTAACTTAGGAGCTAATAAGTTCTGGAGCCACATCAATGTAAGACACTTCATATAAAGCAAGTAACGTGGAAAATCAAATAAGCAAATGCACAATGAATTAGGCTGCTGTCTGATCCCGCAGAGTACCGCGATCACCGGCGTCTCGCGACTCCTCAATCGTGACAGAGGCGGGTGACCTTAGCGTGGTGTCCTTTCTATCCCGCGAGGAGGGCGTCTTAACGCGACAGGCAGCAATGTGGAACTCGGGCTTGCCGGCAGTCACCGACTTGGTGTCGTGGTAGCCGATCGGACCGATTTCGCAGTCCGCACAGATGAGGTACTTGATACCGCCCTCCACGGTGTTGCAGAAACCCACGTTCTCAAAGTCGTGCATTCGTTCGACCGTCCAGAAGGTGGACACTGGCTCACGGGGGAACTCGTCGCCGTGTTGCTGGAGCTCGGACTTCTTCGCGATGATGGGAAGGAGGAACTGAAAAGACGGAAGGACAAGAGGTGAAGGGGAGAAGGTCTAGCGGAGTTTTCGACTCTCAATTGCAGCTCACGCGACACCGAACAAAGTACTAGCCGAACAAGCAGTCAACACAACCATCAGGCAAATGTAACGCAGCACTTTGGCAACAAGGGGATCACGTAACATAATCTTTTTCCTTTTGGCATTTAGTAGATGTCACTTTCGGCAACTTGGAGCGTAATTTTGACATCGACAGCTCTTGGGATGGTTGAAAGGTTTTTACGTTTGGATAACCTTCTAGAACAAGAAATCAATAATTGTGATGTGTATCTCAAATATTGATTTGCACCACAACGAACTACCAACTAACAAAACTGGTTTAAGAAGCAGTCAAGACATAACGGCAGGCTACACAGTAGTGGTTTTCTATCAGTTGGCTTATAGGCTGCAAAGGTGAAATTCTAACCAATGAAGGCGACTTGAAACGGTACTTTAGTCAGGACGGAATGTGGTCAATTGGCACAAAATCATGAGGTCAGGGGGGGGTTCTTTACTGGACAGCCACATCTTGCGGCCAAGGTCACCATGTGCATTCATAATTTGACCCGGCGCATGTGTTAACTCAGTCTTTCAATGGGTAAGGGAGTCAATTGTAGACCTCACTAATCAAAATAAGCAAAACAACAGTGATGAGAATAGGGCGGAACAAACGCCAAATCATGCAAGTTAACATCTTGCGTCCTTCCTCAAGCAGCTACCTGCTAACGCATGGCTCAGTTATGCTTTGCGTGCGTTTACAAACACACCAGCTGATAAGATTAGATCTACGAGTGGCAGTAAACCACAATGCAAACTGCCACGATGGTGGCAACGAGCAAATCCCCACAAAACGCCAACCCAGGAGATCGGTTTGGGTTTTGGGCACACGCACACGCATCAAGTCGGTCCACTGTTTGAGAAAAAAAGATGAGTAGAATCCACGAGCGGTTTTTAATTCTGTTGGAAATTTTGTTACAAGTTAGACGGACATGTCTTTAGTCAGACCCAGTACATGGGAAGTTAAACTGGTTGTCAGTACCCCATCCAGTGATCAGGGCGTCCCATTTCCAAAGTATTTATTGGTAAATTTACAATAGCGCTTTTAAACAATAGAACAGACGCGGTTGTACTCGATAACTGGGTTTGAGTGTGGCGTGTGTTGGCCGTTACCCCAGACGCCCGCAGTTGCGATCAATACTTGTTAATTGTGGTACAATAAGAGGTGCTGTAAGAGCCGTACCTCAGGCAACCAAAGGACGATTCACTTACGAATCGGTTTCTCTAATCGACTTGCCTTCTTCTGGCGGCGAGACTGCTACGTCTTTAGCCGCATCCCCTTAAAACTGTACCGGGATTAGGTGTTGAAAATTTTCACGCTCCTCTCGACGCACATGCAACTGTTTGGTTGATACAAAGCATGACCCCCCAAAAAAGTGTTCTTTCGTCTTTGGCAGAAAAATGCGTGGGGGGCCTGGTTAGGAAGCACAGAAGCCTAGAAAAGCGACAGTTTAATTCATGGAAGCGCAGACAGACGTGTCTACGGCATGAGGTCGGATCGGACACAAGAGGACCACTAGGGAGGATAAATAGGCAAGGCGTGTGGTCTGAACGTGCGTCGAAAGTGATCAAGACGTACAGATCCGTTAGGACAGAGAGATAGCCAATCACAGGCATGAAAATGACAGGCGACAGGAACGCCGGAAACAGGGGCGAATTGGTCGATTCGCATGGTGTTAGAAGTGATTTTTTTTTCTGAGGAGACGAGAAACGACTCGCAGATCAACGACAAAGAAGAGTAGTCAATGAGATAAGCGTGTCATCTCATCGCCTTGCGGCACAACCAGTGACGTCTTGGGGTTGTGGGTCATACTTAAACAAGTTGGCGGGTACAAAGACAGCACGGAGCTACGACTGGATTGAAGTAAGCACGATGGGAAACGTGAGTGGGTCGAAACTTGGTCTGTTTGGGACCCAACAAAAAGCCGTGAAGGAGCGTTCCTGTGTGCAATATGACTCAAACAGACGCCAAACCTAAAACTCCGTAAACAAAGTTCAAGCAAGAAGTGTATTGGTTACTCGAAAGACCTCGAATTCGCACAGCTTAGGGGCGCACGGAGGCTACAATTGTGCTAGGCTGGTTAATCCTACTCAGCCGAAATGGCGTTTATTTTAACTGGATGGGTTTAACGCCATTTTTGTCAACGGCTCCGTTATGTACGACTCAACTAATTTAAAAGCCTGTGAGCAGGCCGATACATAGAAAAAGATGAAGCAACCGCACCGCAAGAGTAACAACTAGGCGAGCAAATACGAATGCTATTTTCGTTCAAACATTCTTCCCTTCTTGATCGAGGATCTTCACTCAAATAGGTAAGTACATCTTCATGTTGTTATGTCAATGTTGCATTTTTGACACTTTCTGCGATCTGGGATCAACTGTGACGGGAAGAACTGACGCGACTATGGCCTTCGAGTTCCAAAAACAGCAACTTCTGCTAGCAAGGTTTTATGAAGACCAACTACTTAATCAACCTGTTGTGTTTGGAAGCAGTGACAATTACCAACAGGGAATGCATTTTTTCGTTAAATTGCATCTTGGTGTCAGCTGAAACCTAGGCCTCTTGAGTACAACAGATGAATTCATTGCAGATGCAATTATCCACCCCTCAGCCTGATTGGTAGATGTGAAGGTTACCACGTAAAGGTGAGTAATGTGTTCACTGGGGCTCCTGCTGGGAAACACCAATCACGTGAAGGCCTGTCATGCCCTCACACCACCCACGGAGCACTTAATTGGCCAAAAAGGTATTACTACGTTCCAACTGCAGGGACACAGTGATGCTGAAACGCCAACCAAGAAGGGCAATTAGCACCTCAAAAGAAAAGACCGACTCGCACACACACACACAACGGATGTTAGTGATTGATAGAGATGGAGGGGGCGCACACAAGCGGTCTTTTTCTCCATATCAAAACACTCCCGGAGGAGAGATAGAGAGAGAGTGAGGGAGCAAAAACATCCGGCTTTTCTGGACTCTTGAAAGGCGACATCGGCAAGCTTTGTCAGGGGCGCAATCATCGTACACAATAGGGAAGAAGATTTGTGTGGTGTGCTTCACAGAATCTGGACACACAAACGTGGCAATCGAGTTTGTGCACAGCCACAGGCAACCAATACCATTTGGTACATGACAGTGAAAATAAACTTGATTTGATGTTTAACAGCAGAGTAGGATTTTAATGTGGTTCGCTACTGTTACACGACGCGCAGTAATGCGGACGTCTTAGCGAAGAAAGGGAACAGATGACAAGACGAGTCTCATGGGGCCAAATCACTACTAGCGACTATCGAGATCGTGAACATGATCATAGCTCAATGGGATCAAGTGCTACTTTGCACTTAAAGTAGGCTGAGTGTAAGCGTTGCTCGAGGGAACACATTAGCAGTGAAGGAGTAGAATAGGTCGACGTATTGCAAAATCGCTTCAAACAGCCACCTGGTACTCAGATCAGACATTAGACTGGTGAAATCAATTTGGAGAGATCATGACAATCTGAGGTATCACCCGAACAGTTACACACTTTTAACATACTGCTTAAATATATAAGTAGCAAGAATAGTTTGGCGAGTAAAGTTTACACGGGTACAGAGGCACGATGAGTTTCAAGGGCTACCTGTGGGAACCAAACGGGGGACGTGGTTAAAATCCCTCGTTTAAAAAACAAGGCCTTTTCAACAAAAAAATCAAGAACAATTACAAGAGAGACAACGAAAAGATATTACATTCAGTTAAATATCGAAGATCCGCCTCGTTACATTTAGTAGAAGCGAATGAAAGTGGTTTACACGAGCGAAAACAAATTGACCAAGTGCGATTTTAACCTTTTTTAAGTCATTCACAATCGGCAAAAAATAGAACACTGGTTTGGCCTTTTTGCACGAACGAGGGTTGCACAACAAACTGAAATTCATAAATTGAGAAAAAATCATTTGGACTATGCAGAGGTACATTGTTGAACTACCGAAAAACTAAGCGTAATGCCATGCTACATTCAGGATTAGTTCTACTTGCTTCAACAGTATGGAAGCAAAAAGCAATTTTAATCGCCTACGCGTTTAAGGTGCTAAAAAAAAGGGCACACACCTCGTGATGGGTTGCGAAGGCAGTCTTTTCTCGAAAAATGACGCTAGGACACCGTGGACAACAGATGACCTCGCTGTTCAGTTCTTTATTTGTCGGTTCACCATCGTGACTAGAAAAAATAAGACGTTCGTGAATAAAAGGGAAAATGAGACCACAAAAATGTACTGCCTGAAATGCAAAAAAAAACAAAACAGTCACATGAAACGCGATCGAAGGAAAGGCTCCAACTAGATCGAAGCACGCCCGTGTCAACACCATTTTGGAGGCAAGATGCAGTCGTTTCAGTTAGCCTTCGAATCTACACCTCTCATATTTCGAAACCGATTTACTACGAAACTAAATCAAGCAAACGATGCTCTCAATTTGTAATGCCAGATATTTATGCAAATTTATAGCCATTTTCGTAAATCAACCTTTACGTGCAAATAAGGATCAAATTGGAAAAAAAATTCTGAGACCAAGAGATTGCATATTTGTTAAAAAGTATACAACATGGGTTTCCAAAGCAGCGTAAAAAGGGAGGAATACAAATTATTCGAATTAACATCGCTTTGAAAATAGCTTAGATGACCGTGTACGCACTTTGAGCTACCATCCATCGTCTCAGCACCAACAATTCAATTGGAAGGATCACGGGTCTCGATTGAGTCTTTTTTAACCCCTACAAGAGATTTGAACAATTAAAAAATCAGGAGCAGAACTCATACCTATTATACATAGAATTCTGGCTAATTCAACTAAAGATGAAAGGTGGAAATAGGACTAGTATATTTAGCCAGGACATGCACCGTAAAATATTAAACACACTAAGCACAGCAAAACGTTGGTCAATAAAACTTGAATTATAACTTAAGGAATGATAGCTGATGAAAATAAAAACAAGAAGAATAAAGAAAACGAACGTCGACCAACCACAGCATGCGCGAGTGAGGCACTGACGGCGCGTATCTCAAATAATAGAATTCATCTGTTCGAACAAATTGGTAAAAAATATTAAATAATAACATGTATAAACTAGTTTTTGCCCCATTCTAGTAACATAAAACATAACAATTTTATTATTTTAATTTAACACACTTTATACGACATCCTGTTAGCAGACAATAGGATTGCCATTCCTGGATACAACAGATGTAAGAAATGCTTACGAGGAGACATATTTCGACTTTTGGTTGGATAAAAAAACATCATATTAATATTTAAATATATTAATGTGGGACTACAATACTTATCCTGTAGGATATGTAGTGAGATCGGATATTTAGACTAAAATGAAATTAATCGATGAAAATAATAAATATGTGTGCGATTTTTGTAATATCAATTAGAGCTGTTATAAAAAGTCCGCAATTTTGCGTTTTGAGTCTGCCACTGCTTGCAATTGTAAAAGTCAAAATTCAAAGGCGAAATTTTAGAATGAGAGTGCTCTTAATATTTCCCAGACGTATGATGTCAGCTGCAATGCAATTTTTTTCTCATATTTGCTTATTTCAGCATTACAACTATTAATAACTGCATTAAGTAAGTTTGTAAAAAATAGTTTAAACAAAAATTGCACGACTCGCGAAACGGCAATTGTAAACGTAATTCCGGAAATGCAGATATTTCAAGGTATATAACATAAATCGGGACGCGTGCTTTTTGGAATCGGACACTTCAAGCTCTAACATTAATACGATTTATTCCGGCACTCACATTAATTTGGGTGTTTGTAGAATATTTTTTAGCCCATTACCGCGAACTCTTCGGGAGTAAATTATCAATCAAAAAAAACATCGATGATCCATGTCAAACAAATCTGCGATCATTACCTAAATTCGAATATGTGACTGAAAATTGATTCCGTAAAAATGAATTTTTCTTCTTTTATAAACTTAATCAATGCAAAAACCATTAGGTCCAAACGCAGAATTTCTGATAAAAAACACTTCATTTTGAGAAAATGTTTTACTTTTTTGTGGAGGTTTCGACATTCCAATATCATGAAGTAAAACAAAACGTGCGATCGATGTTTAATAGTCCTTTTTAGAATAAGATAAGCGCGAAATTATACAACACCTGGACACGCCTTGTGCTTTTCTTAACTCTGTTTATTGATTCATGTTTTACCGACCTATAGTAAAAATCAGCCAGGCATAATAATGGCTTCAAATAAAAACATCGCTCTCTTTGTGTGAAAATACCTAGGTCTTGCTAGGAAACCTTTCATTTCTGATTCCATTCTTTAGAATAAAGAAAATGAAATCTACATATTTTATAACAATCTATACATATATCAGCGATAAATGCAATTATATCACAACAATTTAATAAATATACATTTTATATATTATGAGGTTTAAACTAGAGCCGTGCAAACCTCCATAACAAGCATTTGAATTGTGGTAATGTCGGTAACTAAATAGAGAATTATAAGGGACTTCTCAAATCTTATTTACATGAATTAAATTTTCGCAGTTCGAAGGTACATAATTAACGTCGAACAATGCTTGCAGTTTTTCATTTTTCTCTACGTAACTGTTTTCTTCATTGATTGATTGCTTCTAAAACCTAATTCGTAGAAAAATTTCCGCTTCAGTGGGCTCTTTTTAATTTCCTGCTTCCGATTTTACAATCTGCTGTGCTCTTTGCTTATTCTAAAATGACCAGCTGAGGTGAATAATTTTTATTGCCAATAAATTACAAAAAATTTCTTTTACAATATTAAGAACATGTGTTTAAGCACTCTGTTGAATTACTTATGTTAACCGTCTCTCTTTCTGTTTGAATACGTCGTTATTGGAAGCAGTTTTTCGGTTATTTCGTTGTTCTGCTGCTGTTGGGCGGTTACCGCTGTTCCTTTTGGTGGGCGGCCGTATTTTGCCAACGTATACGTATTTTTGTAAGACAAGCACGCGATAAGTATGTCTGAGGAGTCTTTGCGTTATATTAAACGGTTTCTCGTACTTATGGCTGCACGGGAAGCTGTGATTTTCGCGACCAAAGTCACCCTCCATCTAGTTCAGTCGATTGTCCATCTCTACTGCGCCAAAATAACTTATGTATGCTCATTGCCGCTAAAACAGATGGCCATCGCTTCGGCTCATAACTACCAAGTCAGAGTTCTACTGCATGAACTGGTGAGGGTTGCTTAGTTTCGTGAACATATCTCGGTATTTTCGCTAGTGCACTAAATCCATGTTTCGTCGTAGTGAATATAACCGACCAGTCTTATGGTGTTGTATTCTTTGTGATTTATCAACCAGGCTTTCTTCCATTCGTTCTGCTTTATTACAAGCATTGCCTGCATTTTAAGCATTTCCTCTTACTGAGTCTTTGTTTCATATTTTACGATTTCGCGATGTAGTATGGACATGAACATACATAATTTTTTTCGTGATCACAATTTTTTAGTATCCAGACCAAGGTTCAGTTCTGGGAGCAGAAGCATTTCGTCGTGGTGACCTTATCTTTGTGGACGTAAGATTTGTTTTACTTTATAAAACTTCAATTTAGGAATTCTTGCTGCCTCCTCCGAAAAATGGTTCAGACGATGCTGGCGATGGTCAAGTAGATGAGATAAATTTCTTGTTCCAAACGAATCATCTGCCGATTTCGGTTTTTCAACCTAATCCCCAAAACCACAACCGGGAGGTGCGTTTCCCAACTTCTGCTTCCCAATTATCAATCTCTAGGTTCAATCTGACGTTTGCCAGGCCTCATGCTCTACTGCAGTTGACTCGGATAATGATGTTCCCGATTCAAAGCCACATTCAATTGTACCGGATGAGCCAGAACAGGACGACTTAATTCCGTTACCTGAAGATGTGTGTACTAGTCAGGAATTCGTGTTTACCAGTGAACCCTCCGAAAACTCTCTGGACCTCACTCCTCCCCTGCTAATTCTACCAGATGAGGTACCGAAACCATGCGAATATTCTAGCGGTAGTAGCACTTGTTCATACCAAAGTGCTTCACCAGTTAACAGTGACGAACCTCTTGAGGAAATTCTCAAGTCTGACGATAATTCTCCTGCCTACACTTATCCTCAGGTGGGTATTTGTAATGCGTGGTCCAAAATGTTTTCATTACCAGTTCTATAAATCCTGAAATCCTTGTGAGACTTTTAGCACAACGTTTTTAATTTCGCACTCATCCGTCACCTTATTTTTTCACCGGAATTTGTGGTGTCCCGGTTCAAACAAGGCTTTGAATTAATTTTAGCCCCCTCACCCTGCACCTAGGAGGATTAAATACAACACAAGCTCGGAATCTCTTTACAGTAGGGAATCTCGGCATGCCACAACTCCCAAAACTCGAGCCACATTTCACAAGTCTCAGTCGCCTCCACCCAGCTCTCGCGTCCCCGTTTTCGTGGGCCCACTCACAGGCCCTACCACTTCAGCTAAGCCCCCTCGTCCACCCCGGGCCAATGGGGTCCTCAAGTCTCTTTCCAATTTCGGGAAAACATCGCCATCTCGTCATCACAGTCCACGGCCTGCCACTACCTTTGTGTGGCCTAGATACGACAAACCTCATTTCTCCTACTCCCAAACTGCCTGCGACTCTGATTCGTCTTTCGACTCTTCCGACGACCTCGGACACAGTTCTGACTCTGATGTTCCGAGGCGTCAGCCAGTAGAATGGGAGGATAGGGCGGCGTTCGAGGTGTCCGATTTCAATTCCGCATACGCCGATTCCTCGGTGGCCGTAAAGTCTCGTGGCGACAGTGATGGCGCTCCGCGCAGACCGCTCGCCGATCGTCTTATTAGGGACGTGAACGTGCTCGAGGCTTTAGAAGTGCCGTTCTCCTACGAGGAGGTTGCCTATAGTTCTAACGAACACTTTCGAGAGATCAAATCAACTCCTGGACTCACCATTGATCAGGTTGATTTCTTTTTGTTTCTACAAAGCCATATTGTAAATGATGTGAATTCAGCAGCCCTGGAAATCTAACATGCTTAGTCCCCTTAGTCGTGTACTTGTTTACCAGTGGTAGTTCTTTACGTTTTAGCTTGCATCCCGCAAATTGCTTTTTCGTTAATTTGAATTCTTAGTAACTTATTCCACTAGACAGCTCATTATCGAGTGTATTTGTTCCCTATTCTTGCTTTGTGTATACTTGGCTAAGCTTGCACAATATCTGCATTAATTCGGTAATCGTGGGACCCAAACGACCTGTGCTGCCTATGAAATCGCAGATTGCCTCAACAAAAAAACTTAATTATCTTTTTTTTTCTAAATTTACCTAATTACTTCACAGAGTTCTAGTCTAAATGTATGATTTTAGTTCAGTTCTTACGCCTCGAACTGCTGTCATGCGAAGGCAAAAATTACGCGCAATAGTCATAGATACTGCACTCTAAGGTTATTCGTGTTCCTCGAGTTTATTACTATCCACTATCGTACCAATTACGTTTTCCGCATGAAGTGCCTATAACTAGTGCCGATGTTCTGCGTCATTTGATAAACCACGTCCGACTCTAAAAGTCGTTAAAATGCTCACGGGGATTTGCTCTTCTTGTTACATAGTTCTATGTTAACCTGTGATCGGAGTTCTGCCTGTTTTGTCGTCACCTTTTGTGTTCCTCTGTGTTTTCCGAGTTCAAAATGCCTGATTTCACTGCTCAAGTCTGATTAGACCAAATGTTCATCGGTCTTGGACGTCTTAACTGAGTCGCCCATTCGAAGAAATATTCAAATTTTTTCTTCCAGGGCGATGTCACTGAGAATTCGCCCCAGATTATCTACAACCGCCATGCTTTTAGTCGCGATGGTTTAATGTTGCTTTTATCTTTCACTCTATAAAAGTCCCAATACTACAGCCTTTTTTCCGGTTGAATTGTTCGGCACGTATCTCTTGATCGAGTGAATCACTGTGATTTAGGAGTTTCCGAACCTGCGTGGTGACCTTATCGGGCTTGCCGCCTGACTTCCCTGTCATTCAGAAAGCGGGTCCCCGCCTTTCTAGCGAGAAATTGCTTGACATCTTTTCGACAGACCCCTTTATTCCGCTTCGGCTTGTGACAAACCGAGGACCTGCAAGGTCTAGGCTAAACTCTTTCTCGCCTAGATCACCGCAATGCTGGACGCGCGGCGTCGAGCGACCAATCGCCAAGCCGCGGAGCGGTGCAGGCGTGTCAAGTCGGCTGCGCGGAACAGTCTCGCTAGCCAGCTGGATCGTCTGCGTTTGGAGCACGCCGACCTTTCCAGGCGCATTCTCCGCACTCGGAAACGGCGTCAACAAAAGTGGTACAGCCATTTCACTTAGCCGCAATTCGACTTGAACATTTGCATAGCATTTCCAGTGATAGGTTGCGCAGAACATCGGCATCCTGGCCTCTGCATTAATTTGTATTTTTTTACTTCATGGAAGCCTCTGAGGTAGATTTTGGCAGGTTTTATGATGCTCAGTTTCCGAGGCTATCTCTCCTTTCTGTTTGCCAGGGATGAGCTGACGTCGACCCAGCAGTACCTGCTCCAAAATCTCGTTGACAGCGCAGGCAACCCCCTCGACCCCTCACAATGGAGGATACAGACCACAGGTCAGGGCGAAATGATTGTTGTCCGCGTAGACAACCGTGAGAAGGCATCCAAGTCCACCACTGCGTAGTCTCATCCTCGTCATCACCTACCTTCAGGCTGTGCTCTAGTAATATGTCCCGTCCCTCTCTCATTCACTTGGCAGCTACCAATGGCATTTACCTAAACGCGCACAGACAGTCACACACACACACACACGCTCCATCACCTTCAGTTAGCTTCTTGTGTTGTTGCGCAGCGTTTAACATTTTTACTATCTTTTCTCACGCTAATAACCCCCCCCCCCAACACGCTTTAATGCGGTATCCGCTAGTTTTATTTTTTATCCACTAGCGTAAGTTAGTTTATTCCCCCCCTCCCCTCTTTCGTTGCTGTTTCCAGCGTTGCTTGATTTGCATCCTTTTGTACGCTCTGTGTACCTTTCGACGCTAGGAGGGGCCTTTGTACATAGCGGTAGACAGAGGGGGTTCACCCCTCTCGATTCGGTTCCCTTGCTGTTTCCTTTTTCTTCTGTGTCTACCGATTTTGAATACACACATTTCAGCGCCGTGTACCGTAATCTGTGTCTGTTTCATAAACTCCAAACTGAAGGACGTGCATTTGTGCTGCTTCAGTTCTGTGTCATCGATTGGTTGAAACGCTTGGCTGCGTGTGTCGCGTCTCGTTTCATGTACAGGGGAAGTGCTTTATTGCTGTCCTTTTCGTGCGAAATCGTCTGTATCTAGACAAGACTCGAGGGCGTTTGAGGCTGGTTCCCCTCCTCAACTATTTCATAAGAACGCGCTGGAGCTGGTCTCGAATCTTCCAAAGTTGCCTGTCCAGTTTACCCCAATCGAAGGGGTGTTTTCACGCATATCTTTACGACTTATTTGGGTGAAGTAAAGAGATCTATTCAGGCAGGACTTATTTGAGCGCAAGATACATCCTCCACTGTTGGCAGCGTTAATTACAACCTAGAAGACGCGAATTCGCATAAACTCCCGTCAGTATGTATCAGCAAGTCGCCTCAGGCAGATTTGTGTGTTATGGTGGCCCTTCCGGCTGCCCGTATTTATCAAAAAAAGCATCTGGGGGCATTCACTTGAGCCGAGCTTGTTTCACATGCTCCTGTTGATTTTAATGAAATTATAGATGGCTGAGTGGGTAAGCTACTCACCCCCATAGAAGCCGCTAGACGCAGACAAGGTATTGCAGTGCGCGCTCACAGTGGTTGTGGTGAGTGACGCCTAGCCGGCGTGTCGTGCTTTGCTTTCGTTAAAAACTGTTCAGTGCAGAACTTTCCGCGCGTGTGTGAGTGTGCATGGTAAATATTGCTGTCACCTAATACATCAGACCTACGTGTTTAAACAGAAACCCTGAGTGCATGCACTCAGCTAATCTTGGAGCAGTACATTAGTGACCGTTGTGGAAAAGGTGGCAGCTCTAGGGAATAATCGCCAAATATGCGCCAGTCAAGATTTGACCGGTGGTTTGAGCCCTTTGTGCCAGTAACAACGAAGTGATATTAGTCAAATGCCTGAGCCCCACACGAAGCAAATTCGACATCCCTTTCATAGCAGAATGGCGCTTTTGTGGTTGTGGGGTTGATTGCGGTTAAATTGTGGCACCACAATCAGCTGACAGTGGAAGTGGGTGAAACCAAGACAGCGTCGTGTGTTGTCGCGTGCCACACATTCACGCACTTCGTGAAAGCTAGGATACACGCATGAACCAATGAGAAAGACGAATCAAATCGTAAACATAAAAGTGCCTTGCCGTAGTCAGAATGCTGGTGCAATAGATTTAAGACGAGTATCACAGACGAGGAGCCTGTGATGATGAAATCGCTAGCGCAAACAGGCTTCAAGAGGGCTTAGTATTCTACCAGACATTAATCGGTTAACGGAGTCTTGTTGTGATAAGCGACTAGTGGTAGTACTGTGAGGTAGAATGCCTGGCTTTGAACAAACTACAGATTTTCATAGCCTAGTTTGGGTATGATGGCTAGTCCCAATGTTAGAACCACCGTTAGCACAACGGCAAATCTTAATAAAAGAGACAAAATTGGCGTTGGGACCTCAACTAACCCAAGATTTTGCGTTCCTTGGGAAAGGTACCTGTTGCACAAGGTCAGATCATTGATCTGATCTTGACGACGGAAATTAACAGCAAAAATTAGGCGGAAAATGCATTCGAAAGGTCAAAAAAGATTACAGAATGATGTGCACCCCTTTTCAAAACATGCGAGCAGTTGACAGCCCTAAATTGCTCCTAGAGTAAACGTTGTAGAGAATCCACGAGTAGTTTCAAAACCTCAAACGTCCTCTCCACCCACCGCGTCGTCTTAATTCGCTGGCTGTGCGCGCACTAGCAGTCGCACAAACTCAATTTCCATCTCGTGCAATCGACGATGGTTT